ACTGCTCTCCGAGAGAAAGCTTGCTGTAGCAATAAATTCTGGGAGTGCCATCTGCTGGTGTGCACCCTCAGCCGGGCACCCTCTCCTCGGCCACCCCAACGCTGGGCACCCGGACCAGCACTGGCACCCTGCGCCCACTGCAGAGACCTGCTCCTGCAGAGCACCAGCCAGGGACCTGCCGGCATTAATACAGAATTATTTTTTTTCTATAGAGTAACGAACACCTTTTTTTTTTCCCCCCAAATGTGCCCTTAAATTGTTTATCATCTATCTTTTTTTAAGAGGTTGAGGGGTTTTGGTTGATGCCAAGGAAATATTTTAGGCTTTTAAAAGAAACAGATCACTGTTCTCCACTCCTCCAAAGTGCTGGGTTTCAGTTGAGTGCCCATTACCCAAACACAGTAAAAAAAATCACCCATTTTAAGTTTTTCCCTGCGAAAAGGCGCTTGACCAGTGTCCATGCGAACTGCAGGCTGGGCTGGAGCTGGCTCTGCACTGGAAGGAGATGAGAGCTGGGGGCTCAGCCTTCAGCCAGGAGCGAGCTGGATTTACTGCAGCGCAAGGGTCTGCACAGGGCTGTGGCACCTGGAAGGGACACACCACCCGCACCACCGCGTCCTCGTCCCCTTCCCTGGGGGACCCTTCCACCAAAGCAAAAACAAGAGCAGGCACCAAGAGGACCCAGTCGTGGCTGAAATCACCCTTCCCATGCAGAAGATGCCCTGGGACTGTGCTGAGAGCCTCCCACTCTACGCCAAAACTGGAGAACCCGTTTCACCTTCTGGGGGAGATCCTAATTTTAGGGGTGCAGCCTTTGCTCTCCAGGTTACTGGAGTCCTGGCAGTTATTACTGTGAGAAGTGCCTATGGGTCTGGGACTAGCTGGGTCGTTGGTGGAGAGGGACTGATCTCAGCTCCTTGCTCCATCATTTGCTGTGTCCTCCTTTGCTGTCTGTTTGCCTCTCCTTCTACACTCAACTCCCGAACCACTCCCCTGCCTGGGGCAGCTCCAGCCCATTGCCTGAAGTTTTGTCAAGCCCAAAGTGCAGCCAGGACCTCTTTAATCCCTGCCTGGGGGTACTGGGGGGGCAGAGGGCTGGTACTGGACAAATTCTGTATCCAAAGGGGAAGAGATTCCTCTCTTCTTGCCCCACCATGCTTTTACTGAAGGCATGTTTGCACACAAGCCGTGACTGGGGGGATGCAGAGTGTCCTGGTGTGGGCACTGGGAGATGGGGTGGTCCCATCCTGCAGTCTCAGACTTCCCATGAACGTTGTTGATGAGCTTTGGCGGGGCTCGGCTGCCCATCAGCGTGGGATGCTCCCCATGATGTGCCGTGCCAGATGTACTACATCCTCAACACCATGCAGCCTCATGGCCGGGTCCCCCCACTCCCAAGGAGAAACCAGAGAGGGCTTAAGGCAAGACCCCCACACCATGTTGGCTGTCCCTGCTGCCTTCACTCTGCTGTGAACAGCCTCAAGCTGTGGTCTGCAGGGGACTAAATCCCCCCCCCCCCGGACACCTCAGATACATCCCAGGCCCAGGCTGCAGACAGAGGGGCTGTTTGCAAACCAGCCAACCTCCAGGCAGTGCCCAGCATCCTCCTCCTGTGGCCGCTGTGCTGGAAACACAGCTGAGGACACCAGGCATGAACCCACCTGGAGCAATGGGGACACCGGTGCCAGCCTGGCCTTGGAGGGGTTGTGCTGGGGGCTCAGCCCTCCACCAAGGTGCCTTGAGTTTCTTTGGGGTCCCCAGGGCTGGAGCGTGATGCTGCGGTGCAGTTTCGGGGACCACCGAGCAGCAAGCCACCTTGCAGAGCTGCCTGGCTCCAGAGCCTCTCCTCTGTGGGTGAGACAAGAGGCAAGGACCAACCCTGCACCCACCTCCATGGGGCAGAGAGGTGCTTCTCCAGCTCCCCTTTCTCTAGGCAGCAGGAGGCAGGAGCAGGGTTTTCACCCCACCGAGAGCACGCAGGAGCTGCAGCCTGCTCAGGGCTGCCTGGTCCCTGATGGAGCCTCTGCGGTCAGGTGAGATTTTGGGGGAGCGAAGGCACCGCTGTTGAGGTGATGGTGACAGCTCACTTCTAGGGCACTTGGTGAAACCACTGCAGGAATGTTTCAGCCTCAGAGGCTTAGTGGGTCCCCATCATTAGCAGGATCCATCTCCCAGCAGCCCATCCCTGCTGGAGCCGTAGGGACTGTGAGCACTGCCAGGGTGTGAATGCCCCTTGCCTTGTCCATGCACAGCCCGGGGACACTTGCTGCCTCACCAGCCACCAGTGCTGGCACAGGGACACCAGGGTGTCCCCAGCAAGCTTTCATCAGCTTCCCATGTGACCATTCACCCTAAGCAAGGCACACTCCAGGAGAGTTTCCGTGCAGGATCTGGAGATATCCATTGATGGGCCACCACCATTTCCCTGAGGAACCCATTTCAGAGCAGCTGAAGAGTTCAAACTGGGGCCTTCTTTCTCATTTCAGTTTGGCTGGAGTGACCTCCAGCCCTCCATGTGTATACCTCAATGCTTAAACTTACCTACCATTTGCCATTGGGTATATCAGGAGAAGGCACTTAGGCATGTGGAAAAAGTCACCTTTACCTTTGTTTCTGCTAAACTTAAGAGGATCAGGAGTATTTCCAGGCATCAAATTTCTCAGACTTGTCTTTGCATCTTCTGCAATTTTCCAAGGTCTGTTTGGACACTGCTAGAGGACACAGCCTTGCCCTCACCAAGCAGAACCAGTGATTTTGGAGGCCTGAATCCAGAGAGCAGCTTTGGACATGGGGGAGCAGCTCTGGACATGGGAAAGCAGCCCGGAGCCCACTCAGCCATAACCTTCTTGAGACTATTGGACTGACAACTCCAAAAAGAGATCCTGCCTCAATATCCTAAAGAAAAAGCTGATGAGGAGCTAGTGTCCCATGAGCATGGGGTTCCCTCGCTCCTGCCCTTCCAGGTCCTGACGGCAGGAAGATGAATGTGTCCCTTGGCACAGTAGCTTCACCAGGGTCCCGAAAAGCAAATGCACCCAAAAGGCACCACTGGATTTTGCAAGTGACCCCCAGTCCTTGGAAAGAGGGGGCTTCTGGGTCTGGTGGTGTCTGAAGTCCTGGTAGAAAGGGGTGCCAACCCCACGTTTCCCAGGTCTGCCCCATCTCACCAGCCAGCACAGGGCAGTCCTTGGCCGTAAGGCAACACCTCAGCTCCTTGGCCACGCCAGGACCCTGGGATGGGAGGCTGCCCCCAGGGGGATCATTGCCTCCCATGTGGAGGGCAGGGGGCATCTTCCAAGCCACCCCACAGGCTGGGTGGGAGAGATAAATAAATACCAGAATAAATAAATACAAGTGGCAAAGAGGCCTGAAATGATGCTGTCGTTTGCTGGGAATGAGAGACACAAGTGTAATTTAGGTTTTGATATTATGAAAGTCTCGCTGCTCTAAAACAGCAGGGCACTCAGTGCCTCATTAATAAAGGATAAACTTGGAGTCTATTTACAATGCACTTTTTGGGGTTATTTACACTCCATTATACATATGTAATGCTGCACATATTTACCGCTCTGTTCTGCTGCCGAGAGCAGCCGAGTCGGGAGGGAGACGGAGTGGGAAGCGGCTGATGCGGTGGAGCCGTGACCCCTGCTTTGACTGATGGCCTTTAAATGGCTCGAGATGCAGGAGAGCCCCGAGCTGGCTGCTGAGGATGGAGGGTCTGGGACCAGGCACTGGGGGACGCAGTCTGGCCCAGTCCCTGTCCCCATGGGCACAGCGCCCACCCACTCCAGGAGGCACCCGGAGGCTTTGCCAAGTGATGGAGAAAGGGTGAGCTCCTGGCACGGGCTGGAGCCCAGCACACCAACAAGTGACCATGAGCACCAAACACACAAGCCATGGGGCCATTACAGAGAGGGGAGCTGGAAAAAAAGAGGGCTAAATTATCTGCGACAAAATAAATCACATCTGTCTTGGCACTAGAGGGTTTTGGCCATGCAGCGCTCCCCACCATCCAGCTTTTATCTCTTATGAGTGCAAAATATTGTATTTTCCCTGCAAACAGCAGGGGTCTGCTGGCCTGGGAGCCCGCAACCCTATGGTGTTCATGGGATCTGCTGTGAGGGTCCTGGGCCACACCAGTGCTGTGCCCACGGCAGTCCCAGGAAACAGGGCAGCCCCCACCACAGCTCCCAGGATTCAGGGCAGAGAAGTGGGAAAGGATGTGCTTGGAGAGCACCCTAGGGTCACAGCGATTCATGGGGTGCAGCAAGGCGATGTGGGTGCATCCAGGACCCCTTTGTCCTCAGCAGAGTTTGGGGGGTGCAGGAGTCCCACGGGAGCACTCTGTGGGGCCAGCACACGAGGCCGGGCAGCGAGAGGCTGCCGTCATGTGTGTGGGGGGGCATGGTGGCTGGATGGTCACCCCCAGCTCTGAGCTGCTCCATGTCCCTTCTGCAACAGCATCTGGGTTTGCATGACCAACCTGGGGTGAGACGCAAGAGCTTGGGAGCCACCCTGACCACCTTTCCTAGGAAATGCGGGGTGACTCTGATCTTCCCAGCCAGGCACAGTGGTGAGGGGGACAAGCCCCCCACCCCATCCTGCTGCTTCCCAGCACCAAGGGAGCACCCACGCATGCCAGCACACTCCAGCTCGCTGCGGTCCCAGGCTGTACTTGCCACATGACGTCTCTGGAGGCAATGCTTTTTATTAAACAACTCATGTGGGGAGCTCGTGGCAAGTCCACACGCCCACGAGCGATGTGGAACCCTTGTCCCCAGGAAGGTCCCCCCATCTTTGGGAGGACCAGCATGGGGGGCGATGCGCAGCAGTCGGTGCAACCCTGGTGCATCATCAGGGCTCATCCTGGCCACAGGCTGTGGTGTGGCAAGATGTTCTGGGAGACCCAGAACTGACTGAGTCCAAGAAAACTGTCTCCTAACTCCCCTCCCCAGCCCTTAGCCTCCTCCGCCAACCCCATCCCCACCAGCCCACCCAGATCAGGGCAGGCTGGAGCCCAAGGCCTTCAGGGAGCGGCTTTCCAAGGCTCCATAGCCATGGAGCTTCCTCATCCCAATGAGGTGGGCTGGGATGGAGCAGGCGGAGCGGTGGGTGGCGAAGATGTGGCTGATCTCCATGAAGGTTTTGTTCTTGGTCTCGGGGACGATGAGGTAGACGTACAGGGCCACCAGCAGGCAGACACCACAGAAAACCAGGTAGCAAAAGGCACCAGCTGACAACTGAAGGCAACGGGAGAGTAGGGATGGGGCAGAGAGCCAGGCACCCCTGAGCTGGGCATGGCAAGAGGCAGCATCCCCTCCTGTCACCCCTCTCCGGGCTGGCTCTGGCCAGCATCGAGGCCAGCCAGGAGCATGCGCAGCCCTGGGATTAAGCCTGGCTTTGCACCTCGTCCTGGTGGAGCAGCAGGGCTGTGTCCCTCCCCTTCTCCTCCCCCAGCCCCTCCTGGCTGGTACCTGCAAGAAGGGGAAGACGAAGCCGATGGTGAAGTTGCAGAGCCAGTTGAGGGACCCCCCCACGATGTAGGCAGCCGGGCGATGCGACTGTGTGAAGAGCTCTGCTGTCATCAGGAAGGGGACACCGGCTGTGGAGGGAGGGGACAGGTCGAGGGTATGGGGGACAGGCTGCCTTGGGCACCCCTGGGGTCGACGGGTCCTGCCTGTCTCAGCCCCACAGCCAAAGGGCTGGAGCCCTGCAGGACCCATGGGCCAAACTGGTGGTCCTGGGAGGGCTGGAGGACACAGGGAGCGCAGGGATGGGTGGTGGACCAGTGTCCTGCCCTTGGTGTCCCTTCGGGACCTGTCTCGGTGGGTGGGTGATATACCCCTTGGTGCATCACAGTTGCACTTTCCTGGGTGCGGAGGCCAATTTCACAAGTTACTTGTAAACATTCCATCTGGACCTTCATTTTGCAATAATTTGCCTAAATGTTGGTATATTAAATCTCCTGTAGACCACAGGCATAGAGAAATGTGTTCCTGGTGCCCTCCATAACGCCATTTCTAGCCTCCCTTAGTCAAAACAGTTCGGAAAAATTCTTTCTATCGATTAGCGAAAGACTTGGACACAGTGGCTGATCTGGGCAGGAAAGAAGCAACCAGATTTCTGAGCACCAGAATTTCCTGCAGGACACAGAAATGACATTTTCCAACCGGCTTGTCCCAAGTTGTACTGTGGAAAAAAAAACAACGCCAGAAGGACTGAAGATTGCACAAGCTACTTGGCTACTAAAAACTGGACTTGGGTTGTGGCTCCTTCTCCTGGGAGCCCTCAGCCCCTAATGTCACCTGTCACTGGGGCAGCAGCCCTGGGTCCCAGGACTGTCCCTTTGCTGGAGGGCAGGGTCTGAGTTCCAGCGCACACCCCAGGGCACACAGGGATCTGGCAGGGAACTATATTTGACATGGTGACATGCCCAGGGTCCCACCGCGTGGCACAGGGCTGGCTGGGACCTCTTTATAAAAGATGCTCCAAGGGAAAAGATCAAACAAAAAAAAGTGCTAAGAAGTGAGGGAGGAGTGGAGCCCCTGACGGACTCTTACTCACAGCTCGCCCAGAATAGAGATATATATTTTTTTGTTTTAAAACTCCTATTCATCATTGTTTGTGAACAATGAGCCATTAAAATCCTAATTAAAGATGTAATTACAGTGAATAAAGTCTGGGCTGAGGATGAATTATAGATCTGTTAGCAGCTCTGCTAATACATCAACTGGGTAAACCAGTCCAGGTTTCACTCCTCGCTGCTTGAGCCCGCTCTCATGCCTGTGCTCTGTTAAGGGCAGGAGGATGCTCGCCAGCCACACTGTGATGCGAGCGGGTGACACCTCCAGAGAGGTCTGGGGAAGGCTGCCAGGGCTTCCTCCCCACTTGGCCCAGGAGCAGGGACTAGGAGGAGGAGGTGGAGAGTGCCCCAGGGATGTACGGGGATGGAGGGGCTTGGGGCTGGGTGTCGCTCGTGGGGTGCAGCACAACAACCCGGGGGCCCGGCTGCAGGGAAGGGGCCAGAGCACCGTCCCTGCCGCCTGCCTGCAAACCCTGCTGCTCCCCACTACCCCAGGACCCCCACTCCCACCCCCC